AACCGGACCGATCTCTCACACGCCGAAAGTGTAGCATCTGAACTCGGAGAACCGGGCTCCCGGGAGGCAATGAAAATCGACACCGAACAATGGAACTGAATCTGCGTTGAATATTTTGAAGGTTAGATTCAAGTTCAACCGAGCCACTCAAGGAAAACACAGGCAAAACACGATATATCACTAAATGATAACTTTATGAACACTTGCAACTAAATTTCAGCACACAAATTAACAAATTGAAAGCCAAAATGTGTTTAATTCGCTTACGAAAAATACGCAGCACAAGAAAAACACGTTAGCTTTCAAGCGCGGCCTACTGCGATCTACATGTTTGCCATGTGGCACGGCACTCGTGCCATGTAATATTTTTGGAAACGCCAACAGAGCGAAATGCTTTTGCAATGCGTCCGTGCCTGGGGGCAAGACAGCTGTACTCAGAGTAAATATATTTGCAGCAAGTAAATTTGAGTTACTCACATTTACTCAAAAATTAACAAAGTAGTCTCGAATTTCTAATCAAAGAAAATATCGTCTGACAGCATATTTGGTTTTCAACACGAGTTTAAAACGATAAATAGAAATGATATAATCGTTAGGTTTTGTTGTAATGATCCACAAGATTGCATATTTCACACAAATTAGACACTGTTGATTGTGGTATATTAAGTAGCTGCTCATTTCAGGCCAGATTAGGTCAGCTCTGGCCAGCTTCGTGGAGTTTGTTAACGTTAAAAATCATGCCATGGCTAACAACTAAATACAGTGCCGTCACCATCTGTTTATTGCCTCAATTTTTCACCCATGTTTTCTGTATAATATTTCATGAAATATCCAGCGTCTAATTCCTAAAGAATGGTCGAGTAACATCGAATAGAGCATTCTATTAATTTATAGATTGCATAATAGACAAAAATCATATGTTGCCAAAAATGAAGAGGCACTGTATTCTGATGTTGTTGAAAAACATACAGGAATGTATTCTATTATATTTATATATTTGTATAAATTACGTTAATAAAAAATATAAATGCGAACGAAATTTCTCTAACGTTACACACAAAATGAATTTGGTTCTTCGCAGTTCTTGTTATATGCTGCGTCGTCAACTACGTGATCGTTGAGCTGTTTGACATAATCGCCATAAAAATCTTCCATCGACTTGGGTATGAAAATTTCGACCATCTGAACACCCCCCAAATCGCGATTAGAGCCATATTTACGAAGATACATCGATTTACAGGTTTGGGAGATCCACCAGCCGACAAATAAAGAATTTTGAAATATTTTACACTGGGAAATCCAGGAATGAAAATTTCGACCATTTAAACCTTCCCCAAATCGCGATTAGAGCCATATTTACGGAGATAAATCGATTCAAAGGTTTGGGAAATCCACCATCCGACAAATAAAGAATTCTGAAATATTTTATACTAGGAAATCTGGGTATGAAAATTTCGACCATCTGAGTACCCCCCAAATCGCGATTAGAGCCATGTTTACGGAGATAAATCGATTTAAAGGTTTGGGAAATCCACCAGCCGACAAATAAAGAATTTTGAAATATTTTATACTGGGAAACCTGGGTATGAAAATTTCGACCATCTGAACACCCCCCAAATCGCGATTAGAGCCATATTACCTTTGTTACTAGCGTAGCATAGGTATTGGAATCTTGCCGTCTACGCCCGATAGCCATCCACACAAGCTATCTCACCTGTATAAAACATTCCCAATCGATAGAACTCGGCTCGATCTAGCTCGACAGTTTGATTACGACATCGTAGAATCAAATTGAATATGAAAAATCGACCCAGCAAGATGAAATTTGCTGATATCTGTATGTGCGTCTGTGGACGCGTTTCATCTAGGCAAGCTTTTTTCGAGATGGCTCATCCGATCAATTTGGTTGATATCTCGTTTGAAAGGCCCCATTGTGTCATTGATCGCTATTGAATTTTTTCTCGATCTGACTTCCGGTTCCGGAGATTTACAGGGTATAATGAGTTTAGTTTTTAAAAATCAACGGTACATCCAATCAACATAAAATTTGCAGCTTGAATTTCATTTCGTACACGTGCTATACCAAAGCACATTTGCAATTCCATCGCCGAAATGTCTTACCGGGTGAGCTGCTAGCCCCTTCAGCTTCAGAATGTTTTTTAAGTGGGGGAGAACTTTTCCAACGTCTCGTTGGATTTTTTCCCAAAAGTAATCCTGCGTAAGTGGAACGACAAATTAATCTTCTGCACTTTTGGAATATAATTCGAATGAATTATAAGTTTTCTTTTTAAACTAATACTTCGAGGCTCATCGATCAAAACTGGGACGTCAACTTACTTGACAACTTGACAGCATCAGTTTCAACATTGTTTTCAATATAACATTCAGGTTGCTATGTGTATAATATATTGATCAACGCGAGTTGCTCAGAGTTACTCAAAATTAACTCCGATTTTACTCGTGATCAAAAGCAGTCTTGCCCCCAGGTCCGTGCCGTCGCTTGTTTTCACTGATCTACTGTGACTGTGATCATTGACAGCTCTGCCGAAACGCAAATATGCAACTCAGTACCAGGCGCGTAGGCAACATGGCGGGCCCAGCACAGCAAAATAAATTATTTGAGCCCAGGACGCTGCCTACACGGAGAAAAAAAATACTATCCATTACTTACTTTTGAGTGAATTAAACTTAACTTTGGATAGAATATACTTAAGAGTAAGTTTTTTTTTGCTGGTGTTAAATGGAAACTTCTATATGCGATTTATTCAAATTTAGGTTATTGGGATAAACCCGGGAATTGAGGGAAAAGTACTTAATTTTGGGTAGTTTTTCTAAAGACCGGTGCGGCTATCACAAAACGAACGAGAGACACTCTCCGAGGGCTTCAAGACAAGCGAATAAAAACACACGTTTACTGATTGCAAGTCAAACTACAAGCACAAACGAAGTGACAGACGACTAACTGGCGAAGAAATCAATTAAAATAATGTGGTTCGCTGTAATAGAATTTTCTTAGAAGCTTGTGCCATCAGCCACCAGATGGGCTAGTATTTTTGTTTTGATTTGAACATAGTTGATTTTGTGTGCAATATGATCTTTGACAGTGTGCAAAGAGTGTATCATTTTGTCATTTTTTTATGCATTTCAGTTTAGAGTAGAGTGAAAGAGATAGAACCAAAACATTCTAATTCATTTGGTGATAATGCTAGTACAATCCAGTAGTAGTGTTGCCATGTGGTACAATCCAGTAGTAATGGTGTTGCCATGTGGTACACTGAAAAATTGAAATAGCAGTTTAGTCACCAAAGTCTGTCTTTACGTTTGTGCTACAGGTGAGTAGTTATTAAGAAAGTAATAGCAAAACATAAATTGAAAGTGTTGCCAGAAGGGCTGTATACGAGAGATAGTCGATTGTATACTGAACGAAAACATCCGCAATACTTCGACTGATTATTATATTTCTCGAGCCCTTTAACAATATGCTGTCGAATTTTGGATGATTTCCTTATGGTTGATTTCGTTATCAACTGATGATAATCCATATGACTGTTCTCCAAATAAAGGATGATATTTATTTGAAAATTGGCTGTATAGGGCTCAGAGGACAACAATGTTAAGATAGGATGACTTACAAATGCTTTAGATTAGATTATTAATTCGATTGTTTACATTTCCATATTGAATAGCCATGAACAGCCATTCATCATAGATAAAAAAAAATCCTTGTTGGTTGGTCGAAGACACTTCTTCCACCACGAAATAGACTATTTACGGTTTCCACGCTTTACCAATGCTCTTACCACCTCTGATAGCTTTGAATGATTTGCGTTAAGGGGCTGAGCCAATACCAAATTAATTTCAATTTAAGATAACTATCATTCTGCAGAGAGCATTACGCATTCCAACTGAAGGCCCTATCTCTTTTCATAAAAATGTTCATCCTGTATTCGAGAGGAAAATCATCTGATTTCAAAACAACCGTCATCCGGTTGCAGCTATCATTCGATTTCGATGTTTTAATTTGAATGGTCTGAGGATTTATTCGAACAGAGGACGGTGGTTTGGTACAGTGTATATGTTACATGGTTATTATTTTCATCTCCGTGTACTGTCAAACGCTGCTGTTGGTATTGGGGTGTTTACATCGGTGCGGATCTGCTAGCGCTAGTGTACTAGCCATGCTGGTAGTCGCTGATGCCCTGTTTACATTGTGCTGGTGAGCTGTTTTGCTAGCAGCTGGCTCATTAGCGCTAGTGAAATAGCATAAGTGTAAGCACCCCATATAGGCCATGTCACTGCAAATATGAGTCAGACTCAACGGCCGTGTAGAGTTGAATTTCTCCCTTGAGCACATCCCTCGTTTAAACTGGCTGCGTGCAGCACTGCAGCCCGAGTGATACCAATTCTAATGCACCGTCTACGACACCAATACATATTTGTTATTACACTAAGGCTGGTGCACCCTATATAGGTCATATGTCCAACCTGAGAAAAGATCGAACACAATTGGCGATCTAACGATAGCGCTCGTGGCGAATAGGAGAAATAGAACAATGATGATGATCTCAAAATGTTGCACGTTGAGGTATAGGAAAGAAATCTTGAAAAGCATATATTATCCGAAAAAAATATTTGACATTTTTTAAAAGCTGCTCCGGGTGAAGAAACCTCAAGAGCTACCCGATAGGCGAATCCAAAAGAAACTAATAATGTTACGAAAAATCATACATCAAAGATTGGATGTCATCTAACGAGTTTCTTCAAATAAGCAGCATTGATCAAATAGGGTGCCTTAACCCTTATACTGCCTGGTACTAACACCACAGGGAAATACCCAAAACAAAAACATAAACACGTTCCCTCCCCACGTTCGTTCTCGCATAAGAGCACATCCACCACACAGAGCCCACTGAGAGTGATCAAAACAACAACACCAGCAATACCGAAAAATAACACCAACATTACCAACAAGTACTGACGGTACATTTTTAATCGCCTAACAGTTCTGTCAAAATCATTGGAAAAAGTGAAGTGTTAAGATACGGGTGTGCGACTGATTAGTTGAAAAGTGAAAAGTGTCCCGTTTGAAAATCGCTGAGCAGTGTTTTAGAAAAATGCGATATTGACACCGGAAAGGGTTTGAAATTTGTGACGCAGAAACATACGCAGCTATAGCGCACGCAGAAGATGGAAAACGGCAAGGCCATTTGGCTGGTGCTGACGATTGCTTGGTTGGTGGTTCTGGTACATTCTGGGCAAGCTTCCAGCGATGGAAGTCTGCAGAGCGAGAAACCTGCCAAAAAAGGACTCGACCTGAACGCAACGGTTTCGCAAGTGATTCAGGCGATGGGAGACAGTCCCTACCATGGCGACAGCAGCCAGGAACATTCGAAAAAGGGTCGCATTTTTGCACGGAAGGGTGTCGATATGAATGTGACGACTGCGGCGATAAACGCGACCTCGGCACCAATTGTTGATGTAACTGTGCCGAAAGCCAGCGAAGCGCAACAGCTAAGCAATATTACAACGTCGTCTTTGACGCCGCCACCGCCGCAGGTCAATAGTAGCAATAGCACCGTAGTAGGCACTGCTGGTAACGCAACAGTAATCGCGAAAGCTAATTCGACAATGACTACTACACCGCCTGCAAACAATACAACTTCCAGCGTCATTCCTCCTGCTGCGGTGGTTCCGAGCTCTTCCACCACCAAGCCTACTATGCCTACGACTACGCCAACAACATCAACGTCGACGACCTCAACACCACCAACAACAACAACAACAACAACTTCAACGACAAGCACTACCACCACTACCACCACAACCACTACGACAAAACCTCCCAAGAAGCCAAAAATCACCTACTCGGTAGACGACGAACCGAAACTGCTCCAAGCGGCCAAACCAGGGTACAATTCTGCGGGATCATCCGTGAGCGACGCCAACGGACGCCTCCACGTGGAAGAACCACTGGCCGAACTGTCCAAGGAGTACATCCCGCCGGCGTTGATGGGACCTCCACGAGGTCACCGGGAATACGTGGTTCCCGTGGTGACGCTCATCTTCGCCATTCCACTGCTGATGGGCCTATTTCTGTTGTCCTACCGGCGGGCGAAGGAATTCTGGCTCACCCGGCACTACCGCCGGATGGATTTCCTCGTCGATGGCATGTACAACTACTAGAAAGTTGAATCGTCGTCATACAGGCATTTTAGCAAGCATTGTGCAATAGTCAATTGTTTTTTGGCTACAACAAAATTGACAATAAGCTTCGATTTCCGACGGTGAACAAAACCCGTCCGCAGTAAATCTTTTCCCAGGATCTAGCAACCGTGGACTATTGCACACTGCTTCGGAGCAATCGAAGCAAGTGTGCGGAAGCAAAACTTTCCTGCCAACGAATTTCTGTTGATTAGATTTATTTTGTAAAAAATTACACAAACTGATAATAATTTTCTAATCTCATAAAAAAAAACCTTACATGCCAAACGTAAATCTTTCAAAACAACGACATACGTCGATTTATACAGTAGCTAGTAAATAGCTACCCCGGTAAATTGTACGAATGCTCTGATCATCATCAGGATAGTAATATCATAGTAATAAACCGAATTGTAGAACACAAGTAAAAAAAAAATCAATCATCGCACGTAGGAAACGATTATTCCTTGAGTTTAAGAGGGGAGAGAAGTGCCTTTTTCAAATGTACGTATTTAGCCAAGTGACTGCAAAATTGCGTCATCTGAGATGTGAAATAATTTAGGAAAATAATCCCGGTTTTTCTCCATCTTTCCTGTTAGGACCGAGTGAGGCAATCAGAACTATCATACGGTAGAGCTTTTGTTGATAAGTAAGTTTGGAGAAGAGCAAGCGGTGGAAAATTATGTTAAGTAGTAGAGATTTGTTATTGTTTTTTAATCTACATAATACGTAGAGAGTGGTACTAATAAATAAAGTTTGAGTAATAAATTTGAAGGCGAGTTTTTTTGCACCGAAATAGTCAAAAGTCTGGGAGGGTTACTGGATGGAGAGTAAAGTGGGTGGTCAAAAGTTCGATCTATGTTGAAAATAATAAAATTTCTCAAACTCCAAGCATTCGGAATCAAACTAACTCCTTTACACAAAATACAACTCTTATGGAACTTTGATGAGTTTTCAGTCCATTGGTAACTAGAACAATTTTTCCGGAAGGGTGGTTAAAATGAACTTTTTCCCTACCGCACTATGGGCAAAAAAGGGTCCAAAATTACCCAAAACTCAATATCTCGAAACGACGCTGGTTTCCGGCCAGGAGCAATGACTACGTTATTTTTTCGAAAAAATATTGGTATTTTATGTTAATAAGTTACTGTTGCACAGGTGACCAAGGCCTTCCGAATGCTAGACAGTTTAGTTTTGAACTACCTCACTATGCAGCGCTAGTATGCGTATCTCGAGAGCCTGACCATCTAGGAATTTGCCGACTTGAGCCAAGTTGTTAAAATGAGCAAGCCTTTCCGGATGGTAGACAGATAAGTTCAGAATTCACTCACTACACGGCGCTAGTGTGTAGGTGAACATCCAGGAAGTTTATATTTTAGGCAAAGTTGTTCAGATGATCAAGGTCTTCCGGATGGAGAACAGGCAAAATCACAATTATCTCACTACGTGTCGCTAGTATGCATTTGAATTTCTTGTATAAGCTATTAGGCCTATTCTGCGCGGCGTGTGAGATGAGGTGACAGTGAAGTGATGGTGAAGTGACAATTCTAGATAGAGCTGGAATTAGGGCGTAACAGCTTTTGTAAACAATAACTTGTTATGATGATTTTTAGAAATTTAAGGCTTGCAAACGCAAATCAACAACACCATCGGGTAGGGGAAGACTTCCCCTACCCGACGGTTTTGTTGATTTGCGTGGGCGTGCCTCGAGTTTCTAAAAATCATCGATAGAAGTCATTGTTTACAAAGGCTGTTTCGCCCTAATTCCAGATCTATCTAGAATTGTCACCTCGGGTGAGGTGAGTCTCCGTGCAAAGCAAATGAAGGGTCACCTCACGCGAGGTGACAATTGTCACTTAAGAAGAGACAGCGTGTCACCTCACCTCACACGCCGCGCAGAATAGGCCTATATAACTCGAAATCCTAACCACCTAGAAAGTTACTCTTCGGGAAAATTGTTCAGGTGACCAAGTCCTTCCCGAACTTAGTTCAAAACTTAGTAACTACGCAGCGCTAGTGTGCATATGAAGATCCTATATAAGGAATATTTTAATGTGGTTTTATTCTTTCGATGTTCTTAGACCTCTGATAAGAATGATAGTTGTAATGAGGCTTTAAAGGCGATGATCCAGAGGCTGGAAAAACTGACCCGATTGGAGGATCCCCTCGAAAAGGCAATCGAGTTCCAAAGCATAGACAGCATCGAAACGCATCTGAGAGCATTCGGAATTTACAGCCGCCGGGGAAAGCTGCTGCGAATGTTGAAATCGCTGGAACTCTTTCGGGGATCGAAATCGGCTGCGGATATCAGAAGGTTACCCGAGCAAAGTAAAATAACAACCTGATATCATTTTGAAAACAAGTTTTGTTATTCCAGATATCATGTTTTTTTTTCAGTTGTTATCGTATAACTAATTTAGTTATCACCCTTGAATAATTTTTTTATCAGTTGTTATCATGAAAAAAATTAATTAATGTAAGGTTAGTTCAAAACTTTAAATAGGGGAATTTACGTATTCTCGGCAACCTAAGCAGCGACCTTCTTTCTATAGCCTTTTTCTCTATGGAACGCACACATATGCAGTATTGGTTTGTTTACAATCTTTTGCTGCCAGCTGCTCTAACAATTTCAGTTGAAAGAATTGTCAAAAACTGTTTTGAAACGCATTTACAAAGCTCCAATCTTCTCTAGTGAGAGCGAGTATTGTCGGCAACCAGTTTTTCTTCGGCAACCATTCCATTTGAACTGCATGTAAATCTGCTGTTCTATTATCGGCAACTCGAAATCAGCTACAATTTGTAGTACGTGTGTTTCATTTCAAGAAAACCCTGCTAGATTGCTTTTTCTCAGTGGTAAAAATATAGTCAAATTGAAGCTGAAAGTATAAAGAATCGTTTGCATGCATTCAGCGAAGTGTTTTCGTAAGAAAATCCAGTGAAAATAGTGTTTCAATTTGGGTTGCCGAAAATAGTCTGTCATGCCGAAGACGTCATTTCCCCTATTATGCGTATGATAAGAAAAAAATACTGCCAGTCACATTTCAGTTTTCAGCGTAAGGCTTTCATACCAAATAGATAAAATAACTTGAAATTTGTGCAATGAAAAATGCATGGATCACAGGATATGTTATCAAGATGTTTTCAATGATACCTAAACCAGTTATATTTGTGATATCGAAGGAGTATTCTTTTGTTATAATTTTTGTTGTGTTCAGAACCTGTTATCAATTTGGTATAATCCTTTGCTCGGGTAACTGGCATCGAACCGGTACAACGTGGATACACGATTTGAAGAGGCCAAGAAAGCGACGAAAGTGTTCCGCTTCTAAAAACTGACTTCGTCAGTGGTTGCATGTGCCCGTGGAGCGACAGTTGGCGATTCTAAACTAAAACTAGCATATCCGAACCAAGATAGAGTAGCTATAGTTATGACAAGCCGTTTATCTTCCTTATTCCTTCCTTGACCTTTTCTCATCTGCCACACAAAGCTACACTGCCGTTCTACGCGTATCTGTCCCATGTTACTTTTGGGCATTTTTCACTTTTGTTCATAAAACAGTACTCTTTTAGGTAGACTTTGGATTGAAAATAGAAAAACATATTGTTTGTTCTGGGTTTGTATAAAAACAACATCAAGCCTAATTGTCCCATGTTGAAATTCTACGCATAAGTGTCCCACAAAGATTTTCTCGACTGAATTTATCATTACGAATCGATTTGTGTACACAAATTATGGAAACAGGATTTATACAATCAAAAGAAACAGTATGAACTATTTAAGGAAGTGGCAGTTTTATTTAATGTTGAAAAATATTAAGAAAATCAGGATTTCATATTAAAAAAGCCAGTTTCTAATTTCAAAAAAATGCAATATTAGACACTAATGTAGACACTCGCCACCCCCCACACTCGCCCTATAGTGTCTACTAGAGAGGGTCTAGTATAAAAGAGAAGCGGATTCAAAACAAACTGCCTTGGCAACCTATGCCTGGGTAGTTTCTAGCAACACTGCCAATGCAATCCAGATAGCCGTTGCTCGATTGACTCTGGCTTTGACAGTTCGTTTGGCTCAAAACCAGCTAGTCCGCTCCTCACTTATACTAGACTCTCTCTAGTGTCTACGTGTTTCATGAAAAGACCCTTATCTATATATATAAAAATTAATTTCTGTCTGTCTGTCTGACCCTTATGGACTCGGAAACTACTGAACCGATCGGCGTGAAAATTTGTATGTAGGGGGAGGGGGGGGGGGCTCCCATACAAATGAAACTGAAATTTCTGCATAACTCGAGAAGTTCTGTCGACGAGAACTAATCAAGCAAATGGAACCAAATTTGGCATGTGGAGGTCATAGGGAGTAGCCCCTTGGATAAGATGGGGAGGGGGGCTACGTACAATATAGCATGCGCATAAACTCAAGCTAATATTGAATCCCGAGCAAGGCCGGGCGCACTCAGCTAGTATAATATAATAATACGTAGTATAAAGGTCAATTCCGTACGGAAGAAATTTGCATGTGCATGTCAACTCTTCCAAAGTATTTCTTAAAATCATCGAAGCCCACGTTCAACGATCGTGTAACTTATTGATCTTTTGTCCACAGCATGTCAGCCATAAATCTATGGTCGGACTCAAAATGATTAAGCACAATCTCCTTTAGGCCTACGTTCATCTTGCTAAGGAGTAGAACAAGATGCTATGAAGTGTATGTTCTAAATAGTGCATTCATCATTAGTTTCTTGAGATGCCCATACTTCAAATGGTTTTATAGATGTGTCAACAAATTTATTGTTGGTATAATTTAATGATTGAAAGCTATACAAACTATCTAGGATCTTCCAAAACTGCGGAGAACGCAAGCACGCTCATGTAATCACAAGAGTAAAGACGTCAAACGCAACGTGACTATCAAAGCAACACTGACAGTAACAGTTCCTAGTGGGACTAAAATGCGTAGAATTTCCTACTTCAGTGCAAATTTCTAGGCATAACAGTCCCATTAAATATTGTTCGTATAAAAATAGGTTTAACTGATTTCATTGAAGGTAATTTCTGTAGTTTTCACTAAAACATATTGATTCTGTTGAAATGTGAACAATGCGCTAACTTGTTTTAACGTATATTTCTTCCAATGAGCAGAAATGATTCTAAACATTATTCGCGATTTTCTCAGAAGCAACTGTTGAAACACAGACAAACAGACATAACACTCGCAAGTTGTTCATCGAACAAGCATTTAACGGTCAATTTAAAAGTATCGTAGTTGGTAGTACCGCCACCTGTGGCGCGCATAGTCAATTCCCTTGCGTTTGACGTTTACACACTACCGCCATCTGTTCAGTGTACTACCCACCACAGTGTATTCAACAGATGGCGGTAATGTTTTAGCGACGATGTTTTACAGTGATAAATATTCAATGTGTTATGTCTGTTTGTCTGTGGTTGAAACATGGGACTGATATGCGTAGAACGGCAGTACAGTGAAACAAACATAATTTTGGCATTTTTTCATATTATATCCGGTGCTTTGTGGAATGTGGGTTTGATTGAGTGCACGCTATTTCAAAACTACTTAAATTTTGGTAGAATCCACCCAGATCGGTCAAAACTGTACCTACCCAAAAATGGGTAAACCACGGTAAACTATGTTGGAAGTGACAAGTTGACAAATGAACAAAGTCGATCGGATTCATGTCGATGTTGTCCATTTGTCAACTTGTCACTCAAAACATAGTTTACCCATTTTAGGGTAGGTTCAGGTTTGACCG